GATAAGAGGCTGAGTGAGCCCCAAGATCAGTCTGGATGACATGGAGAGGAACAATCTTGCCCCTCCCGGGACACTAACTCTTGCCCCTTGGCAGTCCAGCTCATAGCCTGTCGATATGCCGACTGCTCTAACTTGTCTCAGACTGTTACATTTACAGGACTGACTGACTGTACGCCATGAAACCACGGCCAGTAATTCACTGTGCATCAAGACCGGGATAATAACACGTAATTAAATACAATAACAGGAACTGGATGCCAAAACGTTTAATTTAATTCATTTGCTACTTGTTGACGGCTATAAACTGAAAATGATTGTTTTACTAACGAGCAGTTTTATCGAAGAACACGTGAAAATTGTTCAGAAAAATGAGGAGGCCTTTTAGTGTGTACGGTCTAGAAAACCGAAAGTAACGGCCGTGGGGGTTCGTTGCGCTGACCACGCAACATCCTCTATCCGCTAAAGTTGGCACTAACTTCGCCGACAAGCGGCGGTCGCTCGGTCAGTATAGTTCGCCTGCGGACTCAAGCCATAGAGTTATTTTTTGTAAGTCATGAGCTGTTGTATTTATATTCTTTTACGAATGTTAAATTTTCATCTTATCCGAAAAGGCAGTGAACAAAATTCGTATACCTTTCATTCCACGACTCTTAAAACACAGAGAAGAAATACGAAAATTAGACGATTGAAGCGAATCATCTGTGTATTTTGACGTGTGGTCGTAACGTTGCTTTACTGCAGCCCATCATGGATTAGTTATTGTGACACGAGAAGGAAACGTTTACGTTTGGAAGCAGGCGAAGAAACATGCGGCTGCATAAACAAAGTTCTTGAGTACATAAACGCCCTGGGATTCAGGAAAGCATGCATTCATCTTGTTCTCAGAAGGAAAGCAGAAGAAAAAGAAAGAAAGAAACAAAAAAGGTAGATGGATGGATTTATGGATTGATGGAGAAATAGATAAAGAAAAGCATCTAAACTTGATCTAGCCTGCATAGGGTCCCGCGATGTTTGCCATTTACATTAGAATTTTATCAGTCGTTATGTATAGTTTGACCGGTCTAGGAAACCGAGATTAACAGCCTTGGGAATCCGTTGCGACACCCTCTATCCGCTAAAGTTGGCACTCACTTCACCGACAAGCGGCGGTCGCTCGGTCGGTATTGTTCGCTTGCGGACTAAAGCTACGGAGTTAGTTATTTATAGTTTGACAAAATGATGCTTATAAACATAAATAAGTTTTGAGTCCCGCGTTAAAGTCTCGAAGACATGTCGTGATCGTGATCTGTCATCATTTTAAAATAGGCAACGGCTGGTTTCGACCATATCATTTTCCAGTACACCGTTAACAACTCTTGAAGAGGCGTTCCTAAATAAACTGGAATGAAGCAATGCTCAGTAAAAAGGAACAAATCGAAATTATAAGTAGAGTACCTGGTCGTTTTAAGTAACACTCGAATTCCTTTAAAAACTGATTTTCTGCTTCCAAGAAATCTGTACATCTGCTGGAAACTCCTCGTTTTTAGCGATAAAAAGGTAAAAAAAGTAAAGCTATCCCTGTAACAGGCCGTGAAAGCTCATCGGGTTGTGAGAGGTCGAGACTCCCACATTTTCTAGATAATCGGCTCACAGATGGCGGTGATGTTATCAGCCTTACGCACCGGCCGGCCTTTACCACCCAGGGAAATTCCTAGTTCTCATTTTTGTTAGAGGCCGAGTCAACCCCAGGGCCATAGTGAGGCTGGAAGGATTACGTCAATTGAGAAATCCAGTGACCTCATCGTAACTCGAACCCGCGACCTTCCGGCTTGTAGCATAGTGCCTCAACCAACTACGCTATCGCGTGCCCCTAGCGATAATTATGAAATTTCTTGGAAATAAAGGAGGCTTAAATTATATTCTGTGCTCGCAGTTGCTAGTTACTGAACGTTAAATCATGTGGTATTCGTACTTACCGCAACATCGTAAAGAGCTGGCTTCTTTATTGTGGAATATGTCAACTCCGTAGTCTGAAACACGAAACGAAGAACTATACCGCAGTCTCCAGCAGTTGGTATTGAAATTCATTAGTTACTGCCCCAACTCTCACACCTTGGCTCTCCTGGTACCGTCGGCATGTCTCGAAGCGGCGAACTGCGCTCATAATTAAGTGGGCAGAAGTTCGATTGATCAGCCTTCTTATAGATTTCATTAATCCAAGTATGGAGACGAACCGTGTACCTCTTACGTAGACAATGGCGTGAAAGAAGAGCAGCTCAACGTTCGGCGTGGCGTTCAATTTCCGGTTCACACCCAGTCTATTATTAAAAGACTCATGGAGAGGAGAATCCAGTTTACAAGGTCACGACCTTGGGGAGTCCCATGCTTCTCTATTCGTCTCGTCTGGAAGGTCGTCCCTTCCTCTTCCAACCATCAGAATGACGTCAGCGCGAAGGGGTCCAGGTTCTTCTGCTTATGAAGCACAATTATGCTGTAAGGCGCATAGTTACGAATGCACTTTGGTACATAGGTAATTGCTGACACGGAGAACATTATAGTGATAGGAAGTGAGATGAACGGGACAAGTAGCACGGATTGTGGACATAAGAAACGCTCACGGATATTTATTTCGAAGACCTAATACAAAGTCACTTGGGAGTAATAGGTGACCGCCTCTGTGGTCTAGTGGTCAGAGTTCCAGGTTACAGATTCAGAGGTCCCGGGTTCGATTCCCAGCTCTACCCGATTTTCTGAGAATTAGTGGATCTGGAACGGAGTGCACTCAGTCTCGTGAAGATAATTGGGAAGCTATTTCAGGGAAATAGCGGTTCCCGTCTAGAAAACCGAGATTAACGGCCGTGGGGATCCGTTGCGCGGACCACGTGACACCCTCTATCCGCAAATTTGGCACTAACTTCACCGACAAGCGCTCGGTTGGTATGGTTCACTTGCGGACTACAGGCCACGGAGTTGGGAGTCGTCATCATCATCATCATCATCATCAGTAATCTGTCAAGACGACAGGTCCACGGTCTCTTCCAAAACAATTCCTCCACGTAATGCGATCTAGAGCTTTCTCCTTCAAATGACAGTATCCTCTTCTGTCCCCAAGGTCATCCAGCATCTTCTTACGTCTTCTTCCTCGTCTTCTTGTCACTTCTATCCGCCCCTCTATCTTTCCTTCAATAACTTCTTTTAGAAGGCAGTTTCTGCGTAAAACATGACCAATCCAATTAGCCTTCCGTTTTCTTATTTCGTGTAGGATATTCCTCTGCTCACTGACTCTAATTAACACTTCTTCATTTCTCACATAATCGGTCCAACTGATCTTCTCCATTCTTCTCCAACACCACATTTCGAAACTTTCCAGATGTTTCTGATCTACTGCCCTAAGTGTCCATGTTTCAGCCCCATACAGAGCTATGCTCCAAATGTAGCATTTCACTAGTTTCTTCCTCAAATTTAAGTCCAATTTGCTGGTAAAAAGATTCTTCTTCTTGCTAAATGCAGCTTTTGCCATGGCAATCCTGGATTTAATTTCACAAGTACACCTTCCATCATCTGTTAACAAGCTACCCAAATATTTAAAACATTTCACATTCTCCAGTTGTTTTTGGTCTATCTTTATTGTGACTGGGGTTGGTTGTCTCGAAATTTTCATTACTTTTGTTTTCTCCACATTCATTTCCATGCCATAGCACCTTCCAATTTCAATTAGTCTATCAATCATGCCCTGTAGCACAGTTTCTTCCTTAGCCATTAACACAAGGTCATCTGCATATTTCACAGTTTGAATAATTTGCCCTCCTACTTTGAAGTCACCGAGCCCATCCAGAGCTTCCTTGGTAAGGCATTCGCTGTACAAGTTGAACAGAATTGGTGATAAACAGCATCCTTGTCGAACTCCTCTTCCAATCTGCACACTTCCTGTCTCCCCCCTGTCCAGTCGTACTCTAACTTTCTGATCCATGTACAATTTGCTAATCAATCTTCTTTCATGCCAATCGATACCTGTTTCTTTCAGGATCTGCATTAATTTGGTCCAGTTTACCCGGTCAAATGCCTTCTGCCAGTCTATGAAGCAAACACACAGTTCTTCATCTATCTCCAAAGTTCGTTCCGCTATAATTCTCATCATCCCAATTGCATCCCTGGTTCCTTTTCCTCTTCTAAATCCAAACTGATCTTCTCCAAGTACATCCTCTATTTTCCTTTCAATTCTTCTTTTAAGTATCTTTGCTATTATCTTTGCTGTATGTGCAATAAGACTTATTGTGCGATGGTCGCTGCATTTTGTAGCTTTTGTCTTTTTCTTTAAGGCAATCATTGTAACTTCTGTAAAGTCCTTGGGCCACTCTCCACTTTCATATATGGTGTTCATTAGTTTTGTCAGTGTTTTCAAACCACCTTCTCCCAGTAACTTGAGCACATCTCCAGGTACATCATCATCTCCTGTAGCCTTTCCCTTCCTCATTTCCTTGATAGCTTTTTCCACCTCACTTTGTAAAATATATGGTCCTTTCCCGTCTGTATATACTTCTTCTTCTGGTAGGTAAATGGTAGTTGTGCTTAATTAATTAAACACGATGCCATGAAGACGTATTGGGAGTGGAAGTATACCTCTACCATTCTTGACTTAGGCACTCGATGGATGTGAGTGGTCACGCCCCGGCTGCTTTATCCACGGAGATGGAACCACTGTATAGGAGGCTGGGTGGGCCTCAGAGCCGGTCTGGACCGTTTGGAGAAAACAAAAATCTCTTGTCCCTCGGTCGTCGAGCCCGTAGCTCGTCGTTATACCAACTGGGCCATTCCGACTGGTTTCATTTATAATGAGAGTGTAAGAATGCAAGTTTTACGCTGTAGGGATGCCATTCATGGAATATTCAATTAGAAAATTAATGTCCCAATAATCACGAGAGGGTTAAACTTGTACAAATTTGCTTTATTTATTCATGTAATCTGTTCCCATATCGGAGAACGCTGCATTTCTGTCAAAAGTTGTGTTTTTTTTTTTTCAGAAGAACGATGTCTCGCCTGTAACCCCGTGGAGACATATGAAAATATATTAGACAACTTCTGCAGAGCAGATTTCGGTGAGTATTGTAACAGACTGATTCAAATTATAAGTCGGCAAGCAAGTCGCCTACCCAGGCTACAAATTTCATTCTCGTGAGTGTGATGGTACGCCACACGAAAAGAAATGTATATTACATATATCCACATGTAGTGGGTAAAGATTTTATAAATAAATTTATGACAAAAGAATTGCTATTAAAGATGCATAGTGATGACGATGATGATAATAATGCTAGCAATAATAATTATCGTGCTGTGCCATAGCTGAAGCGGTTATTTGCCGGCTTTCCACAGTGGCGGCCCGGGTTAGATATCAGGTCAGCTCATGTGGAATTTGTGGTGAGCAATGTGGCACTGGGGAAGGTTTTCTCTGAATATTTCGGATTCCCTTGCCAATTCTCATTCCTCCAACTGCACTTGTCATCTTATCATCGACGCTATACAGAGTATGTCACGACTTTAGGGCATAACTGCAGGAGGTGATTTCCTAGGTCTTTGTGATCAGAAAAGTTCATATAAACATATGTCCGATTTTGGACGGTTACGGAGTTATGACCGTTTTTTTTCATTCCCGTACACGCCCTCGTGTGAACCGCGTCTGTCAGTTGGCGGGTCGCGTTATCTCGACACTTGAGATGTACCTAAGGCGGGGAGGGTTGGTATGTCCAGCGCGGTTCACAACAGAGCGGCAGCCTGTGTTGCGGCCGGGGGTGGCATTTTCGAAAATCAGCTTTAAGCACCAATAAATTAAAATTAAAGGTAATTTCACGAAGTTAACTTTACATTCATACTTTAAATGCATAATGTATTATGCTGGTTTATTATTTTGTTCCGTTTATTGTCAGTAATCGTTACCTTCTATTCTGAGTTTAAAACGGTCATAACTCCGTAACCGTCCGAAATCGGACACATATTTATATGAAAATTTTTGAACACAAAGACCTAGGAAATAACCTCCTGCAGTTATGCCCTAAAGTCGTGAAACACCCTGTATAGTCCCGACACTGACAGAATTATTAACTAACCAATCTGTATGGCAGTAGAACGGTACTTTCAAGTTCAAAGTTCTCCGCTGGATATAATTTTGGGTCACATTCATCCAGCTCACGTCCTCATACCAGACTTTTTTTTTTTTTTTTTTCTTTTTTGTAATGCTAGTGGGGTGGGACTTAGTCCCTTGTACTGCGGCCACTTCTGGCCTACTGTACCAGCCCCAGATGATAGGTGAGGGTGAGTGTGGAGCAGTTGGTGGATTTCTTTACTTCGGATTAAAATCGTTACAAAGTAAAACAGTTAATGATTACTAATTCGTATTGCGAACATTGCTTTGTCTGAAAATCTGAGAAATTAAAAAGAAACGCGTAACATTAGAAAGCGTAACAACATAACCTGAACTTCCACAATGGCCGGGACTACTTTCTGTCTTGTATATATTCAACTGATTCTGTCTACAATCTCCGTAACTTCGTTAATATGTAATATGACATCTTTCACTTTCAAGATCTTGACACTGGTTTCAAACAGAACCATCCACTGCCCTTAGTAACTTAAGACAGGACACTACAGCTTTAAGAACACGTGACCCTACTGAAAGCAACTTCCTGACGTCCGAGATACAGCGTTCTTATATTGTGTATGTATGATAACCCTGTGTTACATGTCAGGATGACGTTTGAATCACGTAACCCCCCCCCACCTCCCGCAGTCCAACTGAACCGATTCGGAACGATTTGGTATCACTCCGAACTGCGAATTGAATCGAGGCCACTGTGGATTACGTAAATCATGTTTGCAGACCCATTACTGCACGCATTTTACACTTGGCATACACGCTATATTTTAGGTAATCTGTCGAAATTAATTTCGGGGTATGAATGCTTGCTAACACTCATTTCTGAATCACCCGTCTTCCCGTCTGCTAGCAACGGAAAATTTAAAATATACCAAACTATAATCTTGCCTCTAGTTTTATATCGGTCTGAAAGTTGATCTTTTGCATTAGGTAAGGAACACAGAGGAAACAGGATGCAGAAGAGAACATTTTGGCCTAAGACAGATGAAGTAATAGGCGTTTGGAGAAAACTGCATAATGAGAAGCTTCATAATTTGTACCTTCGCCAAATATTATTAGAATGATCAGATCAAGGAGAATGAGAGGTGTGGGACGTGTAGCACGCATGGGAGAGAAGAGAAATGCATATGGCATTCAAGCAGGAAAACTTGAACGGAAGAAACCACTAGGAATACGAAGATATAGATTGTAGGATAGTATTATGATTGATCTTGAAGAGGTAGGGTGGAAATGTGTGGACTGGTCGGACCCAATGAACGCGGCAATGAACTGCTAGTTTTTCAGCATACAATTCATGCAATTGCTTGAGTAGCAGAGCGACTATTCAAGAAGGATTCTGCTACATGGAGTTAACGCTAGCGTCAACAGCAAAATAAAACATATGTCGATACAATAGTGTCTGTTTTGTTTTTCAGGAATATTGTTGTGTAGGCGGCTCCCATTATGCACACATATCCTATGAAAACAGAAGAATCACACATTCAAATAGCAACACGAGTGACATGACAAATTGTCTTCTTAATCTGATGAAATGCTGAAACGTCAGTTGTACAGACTGATTGCAATTCATATGTTACGTTTCAGTAAATCTCCATCGAGTAAATATGTTCAAGTTATGTGTACACCGATCAACACTTACTTTCATATAACCGTAACCCGAAACCCATAAAAATAACCTGAGCACAGTCAAAGCAATATACTTTACTAAATAAAAAGGTTTAACTCGAAACTGAAGATATGAAACAGTTGTCTGAAGAAAAATATAATGAAATGGGTGATAAAGATTGGCGCCCTAATTGGGAACATGTTACGAATCTTGAGAGGGCACAACGAAGCTTTTGGTCGACCTAAAATCAGAGAAATTAATAATTCGGTTAGATGGTTGCGCCAGTCATTCCAATGATGCATGTAGTGAAGCGGAGCAAGACACGAACGTGAAACTTTCAGGGCTGAAGATTTATAGTTTCAGTCGGACGTCGTAGCATTAATGGTGGGTCTGTGAACCTGAGACTAAATGCTTGTAGTTAGGTATGCTTAGTACGGAAATGTTATTTTTTTATTGTTAGTGGGGTGGGACTAAGTCCTTGTACTGCGGCCACGTCTGGCCTATTGTACCAGCCCCAGATGATAGTTGAGGGTGATTGTGGAGCAATTGATGGAATGAATATTGGTAGGAGAAACCGAGGTACTCGAAGAAAACCTGCCCCAGCGCCACTTTTTTTTTCATTGGCGCTACGGCCCTCATTTGGGCCTAGGCCTACGTCCATGAAACTCTCCATTTCACTTCGGTTTGTCCAAAAAGTATCCGACTTATTTTTTTTCCGCTGTAAGTAATTGCCAAAGGCGTGGGGAAACAGCGTATGGTAGGAGGGACTTTCATGCACATGCGTGATTTTTTGCTGACTCGCAACAGTGCCAGATGCGTCTCTGGCTGCCAGATAGCGAAGCGGTGTAACACGTGTTCGTCGTGTTCTCTTTTCGCTCAAGAGGACAGAACGCTTGGAGCAGCGATACTGCATTAAGTTTTGCCAGAAACTTGGAGATACCCAAGCGGAAACAATTCGCAAAATTCAGCAGGCTTTCGGCGGTGATGCAATGGGGTCACCCAATTTAAAGAGTGGTTCAACCGCTTTAAACATGGCCGTATGTCGGCGGACAGTGAGCAGCGTTCCGGAAGACCGTCAATGCTGATGTCATTGAAAAAGTGCGGACACTGATCATGGAGGACCGTCATTTGAACATCCGGGAAGTTGCTGATGAGGTTGGGATCAGCAGAGGTTCCGCAAACACAATTTTAACTGAGGATTTGGGCATGTGAAGAGCGGCAGCAAAATTTGTGCCCAAGCTGCTTCCGCTGGAGCAGCAAAAACTCTGCCCTGAGGTCATGCAGGACATGCTGGAGTGCGCCAAGAGGGATCCTGAGTTCATGAAGACTGTGATCATTGGTGACGAGTCGTGGGTGTACGGATATGACCCGGAAACCAAGGTCCAGACGTTACAATGGAAGCATCCAACATCCCCGAAGCCCAAAAGAGCACGACAGGTTCGGAGCAATGTGAAGTTGATACTGACCGTTTCTTTTTATTACTGGGGTGTTGTGCATCATGAGTACGCACCGCTATGCCAGACTGTCAATAAAGAGAACTGCCAAGAAGTCGCGTTTTCCCCTTTGAAACATGCTTTACATTTCAGAGACTTATTTTTGGGATTAACAATTTCCTTGACGTTGGTAATAGATTGCAAGAGTGAGAGAAGAAATAACGTTAAAATCAATAACTGCTATTCTGGAAAAAACAGTGTATAACCAAAGCAAAGAAACATGAAAGATCAAATTGTTAGCTCTGAAACGAGCAATGAAATGTACATTTACGGAAATCTGCTATCCAGTATCGAGGCAGCAACAATTTGAGAGCAGCACAGCTCGATAAAATTAAAGGGGAGTGAAATAGCTGTAACTGCTGTTAGCATATTTTGAGTCATGAGGTTAAATTTGTAGAAATGGATTTCCGTTCGAAATATTGCTACAACCGTTGGAATGAGAGACGCACAGGGATAACTTTACATTTTTACCTGTAACTTTAGACCTTCTCCGTTTCTTTTGATGGACCTGATGTTCCGCAAGTTCAGATTATATGCCGTTTTTCCATGTGACATTCCTTTTTCACATTTATTTTTCATAACAAATTATCCTCTGTGAGGTCTGAAAATTAGACGAACAGAGTGATGCATTTATGTGGCAATTGGCAACATCGGTGAGTTGGCATGTGTGAAGTCACGTGACTACAGGATTAAACAGTTTAATGCTAGTCATTGGGATTCCGTGTGTTTTGTGGTTGTAGTAAGTGTTTTACTGACGCAGTGTTTTATTTGCCAATTTGCACATACGTTTCAGTAGGATAGTGGGACGTCGGAACAGCATGAAAACAAAGTAAAATAAGAGGCTAGGGTTCGCGGTACGACCCAGAAAAGAGTGCCGAAGTCCTCCAGTGGGAAAGCTCAGAGCATCAGAGACCGAAAATGAGTGTCAATTGCGGAGTTGAAGGTAAAATCCTTGGCGATCTATTGTATCAAAGTAATTAGTCATTACATTCTCTGGAACATACTCAACCGAGCAATCTACCTTCAAGTTTTGGAACGTTCACGAAGGGGAAATCGCTGGTAAATACCAAGACGAGATGTGATTCTTGTTACGACACTGAGCCTTTCTACACAGAACATTCGGTAAAGTAAGTTGTGGCCACAAAAGAAGGACTAGCGTTTGAACATCCTCTGTATTCGCCAAGTTGGACCGTATGAATCTGTCGATGTTTCCCGGAAGTAAAATCCACTTGTAACTGCCCAACTGGGGGTGGCTTGAAGATATTCANGTGTAATTATAATTATGCCTGTTATATGAAGAGTTCTATATCCTGCGATATAACGCCATGTAGTCCTTTGAAAGTCAACGGACGTTTCGGAGGAACATATAGCCTCCTTATGGGTTAGAGAATAAGCCGAGCAAGATACTAGAGTGAAAATAAGCAGCAAACAGAGCTCGGCTTATTCCTCGACCCTGAAAATGTCGGTTGACTTTCCAAGGACTACATAACATTATATTCCAGAAGATAGTACTCTTCAAAACTATTGCTGTGAAAACCTTAAATTCTACATGGCTATTATTTCATAGTTATACCTGGCACGTCATTGGCTTTGAAACTGCGAAGCTCGAATGTTCAGATTTTATGAATCGTAATGGATAGTCGCAGTGGCAAACCTGTCTATAAGATAGATCACGCAGAAATGCAATTAGAGCACTAATAATCATATTATTCTTTTTGCACGGTGACACATGCGCGAAAAAAATAATTTTTGAACCTGTAGGTTAATGATGTATCTACCCATTTTCCTGGCCTGCCCCATTCTAAGTAACTAAATGATGGTGAAGCATAAATTACACAGTGCATACAACTGATTCCAAGGGCTTTGAAGCCCGCGCCATAGCTCAAGCGGTTATTCGCTGGCTTTCCACCGCGGCGGCCCGGGTTCGATCCCGGGTCTGGTCAAGTGGGATTTGTGGTGGACAAAGTGGAGCTGGGGCAGGTTTTCTCCGAGTACTTCGGTTTCCCCTGCCAATCTTCATTCCACCAATTGCTCCACAATCACCCTTACCTGTCATCTGGGGCTGGTACAATAGGCCAGAAGTGGCCGCAGTACAAGGGACTTAGTTCCACCCCACTGGCAATAAATAAAAAAAAAATGGGCTTTGAGTCTTTAATGATCGGAGGCGACAAATCTTTTGTGTTCATATTTCAATAATTATAATAGTCTAGCGAAGCACTGCTAGCCGGGCTGGATTATTCACCCGTCTTGATCACAAAGAAACAGATCGCACATCGGTAGTCTCCGCCGCCAGTATCATTGACGTCGGTCAACTGAAACTTTTCGGGTCGTACCCCGCACGACACCCGCCATCTGTCGGAAGAAACATCAACTTGCATTCAGCGGAAAGGAATGTGCTGCCGCCTATAGGAGGTATATTGTATCGGAACAAGGATTGGTAGCGCAATAGGTAAACACAAATCTTGGAGAACTGCAGAAATAGTAACCATATTTCGGTCATTTTTCACATAATAAATCTTTTGACTTTTACCTGTTTCCCCCNCCCCCCCCCCCCCAAAGTGAATGAACATTATCAGCAGAGGCTAGAACCTGCTGTGTTCCATTCAATCTCAGTCCTACCTAGACTTCTTTTACCTTCCTAATGGTTTATTCCAAAGTAAAGTTGAAAAGTATCTTGCCCACTGCTTGAATTAATTCTGCTTAGTATCGATGAATACCTAGAAATTTATATATTCAACTTTTCAGTGTTGTTCGGTTTGTTAGCCTTTGCAGTCTTTTCACAACTGGATTTGACAGTTCTCTGAGGTAAATATTAATTTCACATGACTCAAAATGAGCATGAAATAATATAAACTGTGGTATCTGTCTCATTTTATGTGCAGCTGTGAAGACAAAAATACGAAGAGCTAGGAAGATGATGCTGAAATGTAAAAAGGCGAAAGTTCTAAAGGGCAACAGCTTACTGTCAAAACAGTTACCACATCCAGTGCTCTTCTTGGAACAATCTGATGCCTGCTGTGAAGAAAAGACACGGAATAGCCGAGAAATTTATCTCATCATGGGGCGTAGTCATGGTGATACTAAACTTGTTCCTACTTTCATAATGCCATGGGGAAGAAATACCAAAGTGAGTGAAAATATTAAGTGAAACCCTTGTTTAAAGCTCCTTTGAACACTAAACTGAGGAGAATCTTAAAAGGAAGAAAGTTTACACCAAGATTATTAAATTTGGATCAGTTAAATTGATTGTTAAATGAGGTATGCCCTGAATCAAGGAACACTAAGTTGGGGTTTCACTATACTAAAGGTTAGTTTGTAACTTCAGGGGCCCATAGGACAGATATGATGTCAATCCAGTACTTGATATGTTCTAATAAGAAAAATATATCATATTTCCTCACATATTAATTGTTTTCTGAATTTTTTTTTAAGTTTGAAACCGAATTATACTATTAATTAATGAATTAGTTACGTCTCCTTCATATTGGAATTATGATTATCTGCACCGAACACAAAGTTTCTTGCAACTAACCAAAGGGTGATATATTTATGATGAAAATTTCTGTCCATGATGTTTCATTTTGTAGTTTGGTTAAAAACCACAACTCTTTACTGACTGTAATTTTACTCCTAACAGTGTTGAAAATGAGGCAGCGATGGGGTCACAACTGCACCAGATGTATATTTAGCATTCAGTTCTTGTGAACAAACATGGAACATACCTCTTTCCAACTTTCTTAATGCCATCTTATTTAAAAAACTAAACTCTGGGTTGTATGATAATGATTTAAGTAAGGTAACAGACAGATGGTTTAAGGAAGATAAACTTTGTTTTTAGTATGATTTATGATAATGTAGGTAGAATGTTATAGGTACATTCTGCTTTTCTTTTTTAATTTACGGGAATTAATATATATCTCATTCTGTCATGAGATACGGGATTTGAAAAACATTGATCTGAGATCACAAAAATAAGGCAGGATAAATAACAGGTACTTTATACTTATTTACTAATCATTTTCTTATTTCAGCCCTTCAGGAAAGCTGTGAGGATGTTTAAGAAGCTGAATTGTTCAGATCCAAAACTTGTATCACACTCAGTAATTGGAGATGCATTTGGTGCAGGCAGCAACAATGGAAATTCAGCTGGTAGTACAAATGGTGGAGTAAATGCAAATGCCACTGGGAGAAGGAAGCGTGGTAGAACTAAGGGACGACGCAAGAAGACGTCAAAACCCACACCTGCCTCACCACCCTAGCCTCTGCTAAGATTGGTAGCATATATATGGCTCAACTCTGACTGCATTACAGCGTGTACAGACTGTGCTTATGAATGAATTAAATTTTAACTAGGATATTATATGTTACACAAACCATCCATTACTGCATCAAGTACGCACTTCAGAGATATTGAAGTCATTTGACAGTGTTAGGTAATAAACATTTCATTTATTAAAAGTCAGATGCAATTATAATTATATCATGAATTACCATTAAGCAGGAAGATTATCTGAGAGTCTGCTGCAAATAGTTTTGCCAGTCTGGTGGGAAGAACACATGCTCCTCACATCATCTGTTTTTACATGTATTTTGACTAGCATTGCTGTAAACAAACCCATAAGCCAATAAATCACAAACCCCACCAAGATTATAACAGATGCTACAAGTGATCCATGTAGTTGCACATTCATTCCTTGCACTTGTATAAAATGTTCACATTGATGCATTTAAGTTTCTTCTCGGAAGTAAAGCAAACTTTAAATTTAAAATACAAGCCTTGTATGCATGGAATGTAAGTGATTTTCAGAGGGAATGTTCAAAGTTAGTATTACTTTCATCCATTTTGTTTAGCACTCAGCATTTTTATTTGGTTCGTTTTTGCCCAGTGAAGACCCTGTCCATAAAAATGTATTTATGATTGTGTGAATGTCCCCCCCCCCTCCATTTGGAACTGTAATGTACTGAAACTTATGCTGAAATCATCTCCTTGCATTCAACATTGATGTCATACATGAGCAACGTGCACTTTGATGAACAAATAACTGAAATGACTGTATATAGTAGCAGGACTTTGGGATTATTGTCAACAGACACATAATGCATGAGCCGACTTTGCAGTAGGTGTTCAATTTAATGGGATAATATTGAAGATGAATTGTATTTTGTGAAGTCTATTATCCTGTTGGCTATGACGTGAACCTGAACATGCACAGTTGAACTGATGCGAAGAATATGTGTCCCTCCTTCCAGACTGGCTGAAAGTGTTGCAGCAGGCCAGATAAACCTAAACTGACATGTAATATATCTCTGTAATGTGCTGGGCATATCAAAGGTATATATATGAATGCATGCATCTACTGCTTGTCAACTTCACTGAAATATAATGTAATACTTGCCCATGAAGGATGACATAATGCATTGGCTACTGTATAAATTTAAAATATTTTGCATAAATAAGTAGTCATTTTCAAGATTAAATTTCCCTGAGTTCATAATTTGATATGTTTTACTTATTTTGGAAGGGCCCTTGTACATAGGTAACAACTTATCACACACACAGTCTTGATAATATAATTCAGTTTTGAGGCAGATGTAAGGTGTTTGACATTCAGAATACAGTAGCATTGCCAGCATTCCGCATCAGAACAACACTCCCAGGCCTTATGCTGCCTCGGTAGAAAGTGGATGCCTTTTCACCTACACAAATCTATCTATAGGAATATAGACAAATGTATTCTATTTTGCAAGTCTGAAAGAAATATTGAAGCTGTAACGTATCCTGTGGCTTCATTCTGTGCTACCTGGTTGACAGTTTACTTCTTTTGTTTGCTAGGAACAATATACAACCTGGAAACAAGCCCAATAATTATAAAACATTTAGTGGTGTTTTATAACATTTTCCTTATCTGTGCCACAGTTAGGAGTGCTCATGTTAACATTTTCTGTAATGTGTTGAAAAATAATAATGCATTCTTAATAAATGTAAAAAATGTAAGTTTTATCTGACAGGTAACCATGTGCAAGCCATTAGGTGTGTCAGGGCTTGCCATGTATGTTGTGATGTGTGGTGTGTTTTCTGGAATTCTGCTTTTGATGCTTTGAAGTAGTACAGTGTTATCATATTTGAATTTTTAATAAAATGATTTTAACTCCAGTATTCTAATCAAGATTTGAATTCAAGTTATTGTTTTCTTTGTAATCTATGAATTCAGATATTGGTAAACTGTTAGGATTTAAATGATGAACTGCAGTACTTCTAATCTAAAATGTGATATTGTATTTGAAACTTAAATGAGTCATTGTTTTTAATATAAATTAGGATATTTTAAGAGTGAAATGTGAGGTTGGAATCCCTGTTTGCATACAGAATATATAATTTCATTAGAATATAAACCCAGCTTTCTGCTGTAAGAATGAGTACTATGGCTGGGGCAATTCGGTAAGCTACAATTTTCACGATATAAAGGGTTATTCAGAATGAGGTAACACACCTCCAAAATTCTGGTTATTAAAATTGCAATGTTTGTTTTTGTACATAAATGATTTTAATGTGTGATGTACATAAGTGTATTCTTTTATAACATACTTTGTACATATTTATGTTCTTAATATTCATAATCATATATAGAAATATTATTTTGTGCATTACTTTATATTTGGTGGTCAAAACAGATGTGCTACAAGAACTGTTCTAATGGCTAGTCACATATATCTGATGAAGCTGGCCCAGGTTTTAGCTTGGTCAGATTTCTGGTGAACAAAGCTATACTGGGACAGGTAATTTTTTGGTGTTCTTCTATTTCCTTTATCTTTTGTTCCACTTTATTAGTTACTCACTAAGATATGTATCATGAACTGAGAGAAAGAATGTGTTAGGTGGCTCTCTTGTGTCTCACCAATCTCTGATCTCCTCTAACAGATCTTGTATACAAAAGTGGATTGTAATGAAGCTATTGAATATATAAGTATTTTCTATGTAATTCAGGAGTCATAGAGCCCACACAATTTTTGAAGCCTAAGACATGGTCTGAATCAAATCTGTCCAGAAGTTCGCATAGTGGTTATAATGTGATGAACATCTGTTAATCTTGTAACTTAGACACAGTGGGGTTTGATTTATGTGAGAGCATCTTCAGTTGAAAGAATTTTCGATTTACGACATATGAGGCACATTAGAAAGTAAATAAGAAATTGTAATATTATGCGGCATACTGTAGTTTCTCAAAGAATCTAAGTCATTATCAGCTACAAGGATTAGCCCCTGTGGTTTGTTCATCCACTTTAAAATTTGCCTTAGTAAATCCTCCTTACTGTTCATCAAATATTTCTGTACTGTACAGATCTTTACTGAAAATTCTCTTTAATATACAATTTTTTCCTACCATTTCACTATGTTCCCACAATTTATCTCCTTGGTGTAATATATTAATCTCTAATTGATTCCTGATGTTTTGATTTTTCTTCTATTATATCATCGATCTCAGATAATGCATTTAAACTGCTTCAGTTCCTTTTTATTATTTTCTGTTGTCCACATTTTTATCCCTATGAAAGAATAGCATTTGTCATTTTAATTTTTATTCTTTACAGTTTATCTTTGTACCATTTATTCTTCAGAATTTTGTGAATTTGCTCTGTGTATCCTAATTCTTTAAATATGATTTTATATGTGTATCCTAATTCTTTAAATATGATTTTATATATAGCAAATTAAATCTGCTGACTCAGTCGCTTCCTTGTTGTTACATCCCCCAATTTCCTAGAGGATAGAGGTGTTCCTACCGGAAGCAGATTTGATGAATTTGAAACAGTAGTTACATAAAAGTAATATTTAAGGGAAATACAGTATTTGATGAAGTAATAAACAGTTAACAACTTAAGGATGGAATGCTAAACTCAGAAGTCAAAGTGTTCTGTGAGCTAAACTCAGAAGTCAAAGTGTTCTGTGATTGAATCTTAGGAGCTAAAGTCAGAACTGGTAGTGAGGCAGACATTTTTACAGTTCCCTGTCTACCCACCTAGCATTCACAGTTGCCTAATAAACAGTGCTTGAGGTGGAATGAAAATAGAACCGGGATGCCATCCCGCTGCATCCCGCCCCACCTCAAGCCCTGGGTATTGTACATTGCATTTACTGCCAAAGAAGTAACAGGATGCTTTTAAGCCATTTAGAAAAGAACCGGGATGCCATCCCGCCCCACCTCAAGCCCTGCTAATAAATTATATTTATTTTACGAGTATGAAACTTATGACTACAGACAGAAATTGTCTTCACACTTCCTTATGAGTTACACATTTTATTCAACAATGTACCTACTCATGCAATGCCTTATTAATTGTAAACCTTATACAGCCATTAAATATAGCACCTTGACACACACCTTACACAGTATCATACCCACATACAGGATGTCCCAGGATGAATGTGCCAAACTTCGGGAGGGTGTTCCTTATGTTAAAGTATGCCGATATAACCCAAAACACCTATGTCCAAAGTTGAACGGTTATGGAGATAATGACCCGAGAAAAGTGTGGTCTTCTGGCAGGTCCACGCACTATACCTGTCAGCTGAGACGTCTTATCTACTCGTATGTTTGTCCTTGAGTGTGGTGATTCACACTAGCCATAAGCTCATGCACTACCTACAGAGTACGTTGCGGTGGGGTCGTGAATGGGTGGTAATTAGTTGTGGGGAGTTGCTGAAATGCCTTTTATGTTTTCACACGTGGAATATTGTGATATGCATTTTGTGTGTGGATTTTGCGGTGGCAATGCACGTGCTGCTGTTGAAGAATACCAAAGGCGTTTTCCCGATTGAAGGATTCCATCTCGAAGTGTATTTACGCGAATTCACCAGACATTGCATGATACTGGTTCTCTTCCGAGTGTTTCTGTGCACTCTGAAAGGGAGGATGTACGAATGATAAAACACATGAGAGAACATTCTTGAGATGGTTCAGAGAAGTCCGCGTCTGTCCACTCGTAGAATGGCCTCTAGCGTCGGCATATCACGTATTCAGGTGTGATCAAAGGGTACAACATCTGGAATCAGGCGACCATGCACAGCGTATGGATTTGTGCCATTGGATAAAAGCTCATCCTGAACTGTTAAGCGTCATTTTATTCAGTGATGAGCCGTCTTTTACCCTGGACGGTGTAAATAATTTATGAAATGTGCATACGTGGTCCCATAATAATCCACATGAGATAATGGAAACGTAATTCCAAAAGAGATTTTCCGTG